ACCAACAGAAGGAATTTATATTCCTGTTATATCATCGACAAAACTCAACAAGTATCAATCTAGGGACCAACAGTGGGGACTGTTATTGCTAAGGATGCTCTGGATCGCTTTGAAATCTCGCGTCAGTACAAACAACACCTCGATGCTGTGGCCAACGACAGACAGTTGGAAAAAATTTTCGAGGACAGTGGTGTGGGGGGCCTGTGGCTTGCAACATCTAACAGCCAATTTTTGGGGAGTTCAGGACCAGCAGCCGCTACTTGATCCTTCTTCTACTACCTTTGTCCATATGGATACTTAGCCGAATTCCAAGGAAATAGGTTTGATCATATTGTGTATTGCCACTGTGACATTTTAAACCAGTTCCGATTGCTAGCTAAGGATGGAATGGATCAAAGCAAATGGTGTATACCCAGATCCAAGGTGCTGACAAAATCCCTCTTCAAGTACGAGCGCCCGAAAACAAAAATACAAGGGGTCTGGGTTCACAACATCTGTTTGTGCCTGTTTGTTTTGGACCCTAGAATGCAAGCAGACGGCAGCACAATCATAGAAACTCTTTGCAGAGCGTTGGATAAAGCACACCAAATCTGTGCCTCCCATGGTAAAAAAATGCCTCCACGACTACTATTGTGGGAACCTTGGAATTGATGCCAGCAATCTTTATTTGATTTATATGATAGCTCTTTGTAGGACATGACTACCTAAATAGCCCTTAATTTAAATACATCGGACCCCATTTCTAAACCCTGGCTGAGGGAGATAACACCGTGAGAGAGAACAAAAATAATTCGACAATGAAATGGCTCAGTTATATCCTTCTTCAGAAGGGCTACGAGTTCACTGGCTTCTGCATGAGCCGAGTTGGACATACCCATTGTTCGTTAGGTGCCTTTGATGCGACAAGATGTTTTTTTTTGTCTCTCGCTTTCACCAAAGCTTACTTGACCAACAGCTCTCCTTGGCTGAGATCAAGTCTACGGGGTGCTATCTCGAAGCATGAAATGGGTGCACATTCTTGCTGATGATGATGACATTTGTGAGAAACTTGCTTCAACCAAATTGTTTAATTCTTTCGTCTAAGTCTAAATGCAATTCTATCTCTCAGCTAGCAAGAGCCCAGGAAAGTAAACTATGTCATGACAAAGATCAATGTGAAAACTTGGCTCAACACTGCAGAAGTCTTTGTTGAAAAGGTGACGAGCACCCGAGACTGGAAGGGCTGGCCATCTGGCTTCACAATGTTTATTTTGTTCTTGGAAGAGAAACAACACTCTTCTGCTTGATACATCAAAAACATGTTTGATCACTGCCAACTCGTTTTGGATATCTAAGGTTGGAAAAAGCACCGGTCACCATGTCTGGAGCATTACGTGATGATTCTACTGGTGCTCATGGATTTTTCTTCCTACGACGAAAAGGCCCATGTCATAATGGCTCATGTTATTCCCCACTTATGAACCTAAACATCGTGAAGCTTCCAAACAAAAGGCACATCCCCGCTGCTCGCTCAGATCTACCAGCCGAAGTTCAAGTGGTTGCCTCTGGGCCGGGCAGACTTGACTGGGGTGAGTCTGTCAATGACGTGGTGTGCTGCATAAAACGGTATGCCTCAGATGGTTCCCTATCCCAGGACTAAATATTCGAAAATGTTGGGCCTCTATTCACTTTATGTTTGACAGAGTTGAAAAAAACAATTTGCTTGGGCAAAAAAACATTGGTTATCACCTAAATGACTTCTTCAGGAGCCAGTCTTGGTATGGCCTGAAAGCTTCATGGGATTCATGATCGAGATTCCAAGGGTGCCTCGTCCCTTACGAACATTTGATCTAGACAGGTGCAAAAAATTCATGCAGTTGGCCCAACTGCTTCTTGAAGTAGCCCAAACTGCGAGCACAGAAAGAACAGTGAATTATTTGATGAAACTCTGCCAGCAAGATCCAGGTGTAGACCCTGTGCCAGAATTTGGCTGGCTCTCCCATAGAGAACAGGGTATGTTTGATGACTTAGCTGCTTTTGAACCAAATCGTTCAAGGCCCCTTGCGGCTTTGATGCCTCAAATGAGGTTCACTGCACGGTTGGGGAGGCAGTGATAAAATCAGTGTTAAATCATGTAGTCGATGTGTTGGAAAGATGCTCAAAGGTTCTAGAAGAAGTTCCCTTTCCCCAAAATCAAAACAACCAACAGGGGACCCAAAAGCGCACAAAAATAAATAGATCATAATGGATCGATATCAGATGGTATTTAGTCTGGGTGGAGCGAATGACCAAACGAGCAGAGTTTCTGTGTTTATTGGGTTGCCAAAAAGTTTTGGCCCAAACAACAGCTTTCTTTTAAGGGTGCCAGCACCCCATGAACCCGCCTGATAGCCAGCCACGGCCCAGTGCTTTGCGACCTGAGAGGACCGGTTTTGGGATTTCACACAATGTGTCTGGTGTCACTCTTATCACCAGCCGTGAAAAGCTATGGAAATGTTGGCGGCCAGTTGCAGGAGCCTTAAAAGAAAGGAGTCAACGGTTCCCGAAACACCTCCCAAGAGAAGGCTCTTTGAGGCTGGGTGACCTGAATACTAGCACAGCGATTGAAAATTGAAAAAAAAACAAATTTGGTTCTTAGTGACATCCGCATCCAGGTTGAAGATGACACCGACATAGACCCTCCTACTGAACTTTCTGGCTGCCGAAGGAAGACCGAAGGGTTCCAATGGAATGACCCACAGGCCACTGTTGAAACATGGCTTGTACATTCACTGAGATAGTTTGGAATGTTTACGTGTTTGTTATGGTGTTTGTCAGGCCTGGTCACCAACTACTCCAGAGCCAGAGATGCCCCATTTGACGGAGTCGATGAAGAAGGACCTGCTTTATGCCTTGTTCCATAAGTATTTACTTGCTGCCAAAACAGAATCAAACCTGCCCAGCCCCCGAACCCATCCTATTCCTTTTGACATACCGATCACATCAGGCGCCCATGTACTCTGGCTACCCGGTGCCCAAGGCCAGCACTCCATCAACTTTGAAGAGTGAAGCCAAATTAGTCCTCACGTCTTCCCTGCAATCACTGTGAGGCTGGAAGGATTCGAATCAACTCCATGTTTGTGCTGTGCGAGGCTTGAGGGGGAACATATTGGGCACTGTTGCAACAGCAGTTTGCATCCCAGTTGTCATAAGTCGTTCTAATTTGAACCCAAGAAATTTGAGGCGAAGATCCTGATGGAAAAGGACATGGAGCCTCATAAAAAAGTGTTGCACCTGGCAACCATGTTTCTCAAAGCCGCTGCAAAGATTTGTGATTTGGAATCCTTAGATGAGTAGTTATGTTAGTTCAAGAGAACGTTTCAAGATGTGGCAATATCTGCGGGTCAGTACAAAGCTGCGTTTCAGTCGCTGTGTGTGTTAAGAGTCTCTTTCTTCAAAGCCGCTTACTCAGTGCCAATCATGAACATGCACTCCAATGAAACCTTTGCACGCCATAGGGAAGCCAAAAAAAAGCACAATGAAACCAATACATCCCATGCGGTTAGCCTTTTTTTGCTCAATCTGCATCTAGTGTTTGGCATCAGCTGACTGCCTGATGACTCTTGTTGGCACAAACACATACCATTCAAACAAATGGTTGGCGTTTGGCCGTAGTTGTGACTTGGAACCCTGTAAGCCTGGCCCACTCTCTTCTCTCCGCCGCTCAGGCCTCTTTCTTTGAAGAAGGCGGTGGAAGCGCTCGGTACTTCACCAACGGTGGCTTCAAAGCCTGTGGCCAAGCGAGGGGCGCCTGTAAGGCAAGGTGGATCTAGATTGAACGGATTGTACCTGATGTTAACCTCTTGAGAAATCAGCTATTTGGACATGAAATCAACCGAGAGGTCTATCAAAAAGACCATTGACAAAAAGGGGGCGAAAGGTGCAAGATCTACAGCCCAACGTGTCTACAGGACAGCCTAGGTTCAGAGTTCAAAGTCTGTGAACTAGAACGTGAAAAAACATGATATCAGAAGTCCTTCACTAGCTTTTGTGGTTGGCAGGAAGTACCCAAAGACCAGCTTGAGCAAACCTACTTCGAGCCATCCCTCAGGGCCTAGAACAGTCAACCAGTGCTATGATTGGCCAAAACAATTCTTGGACAGGGCCATCGAACGGTTTGGCCGTGAGGTTATTCTGCAGAAGCTAGCCCGTTGGCGGTGGGATGTGACCAGTTGTTTCAGTGGCATTGGTGCTGCCGAAAGTGTGGGGGCCTCAATAGAAGAACGCAGAGCTTAAACCTCTTATTTTTTTTTATAGTTGCACCCTAATAGAATAAACTTAAATAATATGCATTATAAGACAGCTATTCGATATCAATAACTCTTACAATCTAGGTCACAAAAACTGGTATGGCATCAAACAATAAGATAATTTCCCCCTAAATAAAGTTTACCTCACCCTGCTGGGTTTCAATAACATTCCCAGGCAGTACTTGCCTTGGAGCACTACGTGATGTCGTTGCCAGACCTCAAGGCGGCATACTGTGGGCATGTCAGGATGAGGTGGTGCTGCGAAAAGGATGAGGGGTGCAAGAAAGTCCTGCGGGATACCTATGGTGTTTGTGTCTTTGGGGACATCTTTGACCTGAAGCCAGACTCCAACACTGCATGGTGCTTTACTCACAACAAGATGTGTAGCACAGTTGTTAAGCGTGACCCCTTGCGACTCTTATTTGCTAATTAGCGTGAACATTTTCTTAGCTTTGGGGAAACCAAAAATTGTGGACAGCGAGTCATGATCCCCTATCAGCATGTTGGTGTTGGATCCTTGAAGCTAAGGAAAGCGATTCCAAACAGCAGGACTCATGACATACAGTACCAGGGATTGGGTGACTTTAGTTTGTTGAAACAAATATCTATACTGAGCGATGGAATGGGCCAATTGGTATTTAAAAACTCACAGTATCAAATTTGATCAAAGTTGGTTAGAAATGCCGGTGTATCACATTGCTTGCAGGAGCCCCTTGTCAGCCCTATAGCCGCATGGGCTTGTCACTCGGAGAGGAGGACGAGCGATTTGGATGCCATGAGAAGTACTATGAGCAGGCTGAAGAAAGTGGTGATATTCATGTGATTGAAAACGTTCCTGAATACCCTGTCAAATCAATGGTGGATCGCTTTCTGAACCATGGTGACGAAAATGGTCCATGGAAGTGCGAGTATGCCCAAGTGGACCCGAGACTGTTTGGGTTCAGTACAGCGAGACCCAGAGTGTATGGCCTAGCTTGGAACTCCAATGTCGTGCAATGGGATCCCAAATTCGAATTTCTGGAGATTCTCGAATGTTTGAAGGCCCAGCCATGCATGGAGGCAAAGGACTATTTCTGGATGTCTCTCCCCAAACCTACCATGACTCCTGCTGATGAGACCTATCATAAATAACACACTTTTTGGAAGTTTCCACGTATTCGTGGTGTTCTACCACCATGTTACTTGTTACCCACAAAAGCTGCCTCTTTGCCCCAATGTGAGGAAAGCAATTTGCGGGACTATTTGTCGAACATGTCCAGCAAGGTGAGACCAGGGTGGCAGGTGGCAGACTTGTGCCAACTTGTCCGTACAGGGCGTGCGAGAACCGATACCGTGGACAACCATCTCATGACCATCACCACAAATTCCACCCGGCTTTACTCGAAGGTACATGAGTAACCAAAATGTGTTTAACGAAGTGTCTTTAATGAAATGTCTTTAGCTAAAAAGTGTAACGGCTCACGGATTGGGAATAAAACCCTGAGGACAAGGGGCGCTACATGTCTTCGAAGGAGCTGTTGAGCTCACATGTCTTTCCTGTGACCCAGCGCCACTCCAAGAAAGTTGGCTCCCCCATGCTTCAGATCGACACAACTGAGGGCAAGGCAGCCAAGATGGCAGGCAACAGCATGAACATCCCAACGATGGGAGCCTTTGTGCTGGCGGCTGTGCTGGGTCTGAGCTAGCTAGCTTACTCAGCTTGGGGATGGAGAGTTTTTTGTACCAATCAATTCAAATTGCAAACTACTTCCAAACTGGTAGTTTCTAGTGAGGTGCCTTAATTCATCTTAGTTGAAGGCTCACCACATCCCGATCGGCGAAAAGTGAATTGAATTCTTCATGTCGGTGTGCAACTGACCCATGTCCATGTTTGAAAAACATATAGCACCTGGATACTGGATTTTATCTCCTGAAAGATCAGTTGAAAAGTGTATTATCGTGAGGCATTTTGGCCAAACGTTTTGTCTTGCATAGCCGAAGGGGGTTCCACTATCTGTGTTTGAGCTATGGGTAAGCGTGGTAGCAATGCCACACCGCCATCTGCAAAAGCGCAGAAAACTGTGGAAAATGCTTGGGCTGGCAAAATGCTGGCCTCTGTGAAGACCTTCAGCTAAACAACTTATTTTTTTTATGGATTGAACCCTCCAAAAAAATAAGGCACCATGGGGTCTTAATTAGTCATGCAACATCCCCTGGCTTGAGGAGCTTCGACCCTTTGAAAGACGAACATCCGGTTTCTTGGCTCCTCGATTCCCTGATCCTTCAGCTCTATCAGCCGATGTCGGAGTGGTTGTCTGATCTTTTGGGTAAACCTATCCCCGAGCCAAAGCAGGTGACTATGCCGGACTGGTGTTAGTGGGCACACACCAGCCTTTGGTCTATTGAATAGGGTTTTGTTCTTCAGGTAGTGTTATTTGATTCTGGGTCTATCCTTTCAAAAGAATAATATGTTGATAGTATCTGCCTATACCTACCTAATATACCATATAATAGTAGAAGAATAATTATTATTAAAACAAGTTAACCCCGAATTCAAAAATAATTATCAAATTTGGTTTGAATATATCCTGGGATCTGGGTACCCTGGAGGACTGCTCTATGACCACCCAGTTCAACGTTCCGATCCTCGCGTTCCAGAGCCGGATGCCAGTGGATGGGCTTCCCTGCATGGAAGATTGGGCATCGCATGCCCTTAGCATTTGGAACTTGGGCTTTGAGGGGTGGCGTGAAGCCATTGAAATCAAGGCCATTTCCCAAAACACTTTGGGGAGAACGTTGATTTTCGGATCTGTGGAGGCTGCCAAGGGGACTGGTAGAATCTCAATTCTTCTCTACACCTTGTGCCAGACCTATCTGATGAAGAACTCATTGACCCAAGATGAGTTGGACCAGTTTGCTAAGTCTTTTGGCATTGGAAATCTGTGGCCATAGAATTTTCTGGGAATATCTGGGAATACTTGGAGATACTTCGGTATACTTGGGTGGTACAAAAGGGTCGTCCTTGAGATTTCCAACTTGAAATTTTGTAGGGGTGACCTTGGCGGTGCCAAGGTCGTCCCTGGGGGTATCCTGGGGTATTGTACATATCGTGGAACCCTTTACCCATAAACTATGGAAAAATCTGGGACCATTGCTGGGGTGACGTTGGCGATGGGAAGGTCGTCCCTGGGACAATGAGCTGATCCCTACCCAATAGCTGGGGTGATGAATACAAAGTTGGAAAGCGTTGCCAGGGTGACCTTGGCACCGCCAGGGTCGCCCTTGAAATTTTTAACTTCCCAAGTTGTAAGGCTGATGCTTTTGTATGCCCAATCTGCCTGAATCTACAAGGTTTTTCTAGGTATAGCTGGGGGATCCTGAACTCAAATTGGGTTTTCTATATGGTGCTTACAAATCCACAAATTTGTGTTCTAGCACTGCTCCATGGATTGTTATATACTTGTAAAAAAAACATTTATATTATGATGATCCAAGTATATAGGGTGACCAACAATGGCATGTGCTTTAATTTCCCAACATTCCCAATGCAAAGATTTTGGGTTACAGCCTAGGTGGGCCGAAACCATCGTGGTGATCCCCTGCGTCCAAGTCTTGCAGAACACCGAGCAGGACTACATATGGCGCCGAATCCAGGTTTCCCAGCAGCAGGCCGAGCGACAGAAGAAAAGTGTCCTGCAGCTCTGCATGACCTTCCACCGAAGAGCTGAGAAAATCCTGCAGGCGTCGTGGCTGAATGGTCTGAGATCAAATGTTCTGGACAAACCTTATTCTGTTTTGGTATCAGCTTTTCATAACCATTGTTCCATTATTTGGTAAGTATCAACATGATGTTATTCAAACCAATGGGGTCTCCTATTACAATATTTATCACCACTATTCACCACTATTCACCACTATTCCCACAATATGACCCCAGATAATAACGATTCCCACACAGGAAAATGCGACCATGGACTACCGCTGCGCGTGGCTGGCTGCCATCAATGAGTTCAACAACTTCGGTTTGGCTGTGGTTGACCCGAAACACAGGATCGAGCCAACCGTAGCCAACATGATGTTTGGTCTCAAGGCTGCCAAATGCCAAAAATCACATCACAAGGTTGCTAAAATGTTCATAATTAAGTTACTGGGTTGATACTGATTTCAAGCCAAAGCGATGGGGTGATCCAGATTGTTCAATGCTGGATCGGTGCCAATCAGGTGGGTGTTGCTGACCCAGTCTGGAAATTGATCCAGCAGCATCTCCACGCGAACAAGTTCGACAACTCAGGTGGGCAACTTGATCTTGGGAAAATGAGGATACCTATGGCCCACTTACATTAAGTGAAGCATGATACGAACTTAGATTTGTTTGGTCAATTTTTGGGGGTAGAGCCCACCAATAGCCTTAAGTCTCCAACTCTCAATCCCCTGCAGCCTTCAGCCAGAACACGCTCCTCTCAAGCCGGTGGTTGCTGAAGGGAGTGCCGAGCAAAGCTGAAGGCGTTTGGCATGAGATCCTGCGAATGACTGAGGTGAAACAGCACTTGTTTGTCCAACGAATCCTTTTCATCCATGATCTCACGAAACGAAAGGCAGGCAAAGCTCAGACATTGAAGGTATCACCATCAACATGGGAGCTAGAGGCCGACGTTGCATGCCTAGCCGGTCACATTTTCCATCACATGCAGACCTACCGGGACCCAGAAAACCTCATCGTCTTTGATGCTTCAACCATTCCAACAGCGATGAACCATTTCGTTGAAGCGAAGCCTGTCTCTGTTTTCAAAGACTGTTCTTTTTTAAAGTGATTAAACCAATGCCCAAAGAGTATTCCATTGACCCTTCTAACCTAATATAAATATATTAATATATAATATATATAATAGATATATAATATATATTATAGTATATTATATATATGCTCTAAGCGGGATACTGTTTTCCGTGATATGTAAAATTAGGTTTTTATCATTTTCATTTTAAAATGTGTACAAAAATTGGCCCCAGGGACTACCACGAAGAGCTCAAGGCGATCAATGACTTACGAGATCCCCAGTTCAAAGTTGAACATACCAAGCTTTGGTTGGATAACCTTCCCACGGCTGCCAAACCAATGACTGATGCCCATCTTCAGCAAGCTGATGGAAAGATTCAGAAACTGGTTCTAGATCAGAGCAAAATTCAATTCCAGGCTGACAGTCTCTCCTTGGCGAGGGATGCCAGTCAGCTGGCGAGCCTTCATGCGGAGGAGGTGCAATGTGAAAGGTCGATGCGGATGGCAAAGGTGGCCCATTTGAAACAGGAGAATCAGATTGGGAGTGGCATTGTCACAAAACACATGGCCCAATGTTGTGCTTTCACGAGTGGACCCATGAATTTGTTGAAGCCAATGCTCACTGAGGCCAGATTAAAACAAAATATGGTTTTGAAATGTTTTGAATGATAGATACAAACTGATACACAATGTGGTCTTTGACACGGGGTTCCCTGGGGTGCTCTAACCCTTCTGTTGCATCCCTGAGTTCATTTCCACTATTCGAGATTCTCATGGTGGATCGGTCATTGTGTGGTTGGACTACAGCAAATATGGAACTGTAACGAACGCCGATTTGAACAACACTGTGACGATTGTGCAGCAAGTGCTCACAGAGTTGCCTGAAAAGGCATGCTGCTTCGTCATAGCTCCTCTGATGGCCTCAGACCGGAGATCCGGGTTCCGGGAAGAATACAGGCCAGGGATCAAATCATCCTAAAATACAATTTGTTCTATCCTATTAAGCCCAAACATCCAAACCAGTTTATGTTTATGGTAGTATCTTTAACTCACTCTCTATGTGGCCTTTGTGGTTTAGAAGAGAAACTTCCAAGTTACCGGCTGCAATCTCAAAATTCAAATAGTGTTCAACTGAGAAGGAAGTAATTGGCTGGTAGTAGTAGCAGTAGTAGCATTGTTGTTGCTGCTGGCGTTGCTGCCACTGCTGCTGCTGTTGTTCTAGCGGTTCTTGTTCTTGTGCTTGGTATATATGTTTCCGTGTCTCTGTCTTTTCCTTGCCTTCTGTCTCTCATTCTTCAACTTTGTGGTTTCTTCTGGTTCTTCTTTTCTTGTTCTGGGTGCAGTCCCGGTTGTTCTCATATGTCTGCTCTACTTATTAATGTTTCCTTTGGCTGGGTTTGGGTGGGTTTGGTGCTCACTATGTCGCATCATCTAGCACTTCAAGTTCGCTATGGCGAAGTAGTGATGTGTTTCGGTGGTAGTTTTCACCGTCCTCATCCTTCTTGTTGTTTTTGTTGTTTGGTGGTGGTGGTGGTGGTTGTGGTGGTGGTGGTTGTGGTGGTGGTGTTGTTGGTGGTGGTGGTTACCGTCAGCATCCATGTTGTTGTTCTTGTTGTTGTTGTTGTGCTGTTGTGCTGGTGGGTGGTGGGTGGTGGGTGGGTGGGTGGTGGCAAGGGTTGTTGGCGCTGGGGGTCGTGAGCTGATGGGGGTGATGATGGGGTGATGGGGGTGATGATGGGTTGATGATGGGGTGATGGGGCGATGGCAGGGGTGATGGGGGTGATGGTGGTGGTGATGGGAGCTGTGATGGTGGTGATGATGGGGGTGATGATGGGGCTGATGATGGGGGTATTGGTGTTGGTGTTGGTAATGGTGTTGTTGGTGGTGGTGCTGGCTGTTAACTCTGACTTTGTGTGTGTGTGTGATTGCTTTTTCCTGGAGCCCATTGTTTCGGTCTTGGGTTTCATACTTTGCTGAATTTATGTTTGTGGGCTGCATTGCTTGTGTCCTACTTTGTGTGTGTCTAATCTTGTCTTGTGGACGGGTTGTGTTTATTTTTTCTGCGCCCTAAATCTAGACTGCATATATTTTGTACTGTGCGCATGCTAGTCTTTTTATGAGCTTGGAGTGCTGTGCTGCCACCAGGCGTATCGAAGATAAACTGGATGCCAAGGGATTGAACAGCCAGGCAGTGTATTTGAGATTCGACAAGCCACCCAACAGCAAGAAGGTGGCATTGTCTTACCAAGCTTGGATTGTCACCGCTTCTGGCCCATGCCGGTTCACTGACAGCCTGCTTTATCAAGACAGGCCTTGTATGTCTAAAAATTGTGGGTGCAATATTGGTGCCTCAATATGACTATGACTACATGGTTTTGAAATATGGGTTCTGTATCGCATATCTTTTAAAACGGGATAAACATGTATCATATATTTTGCATCGATTCAATGTCGGTCAGCTTCAGGTAAGGGTTTGCAATGTTTGCTTTCCAATCTGCAGGGCTACTCGCGATTTGCTTGGCTGGGTGCCAGAATCTCAGTACCATGTTCCTACAACACAGAACAGCCTTCCTCACGCCTCTGAGGGCATGAGGCCTGGTCATGCACTTGGTTTGGTTTGGGCGCTAATGCGCTGTCGACTAGGTACCCCCATATGACATGTAGATTTTTCATATTATGTGTAACCAAGCGATCCATATTCCATTTATTATATAGGACCCTTTGGATGATGGGCTTAATGCTAACAATATCTCGCTGTTTGGTTTGAAGTCAGCACCACACTCAATATATAACCAATACCAGTGTCATACGCTTCCTGATATTAGAAGACCAACCAGCCTACTTCATCTGCACAAATTGTTGTGTCAAATTCCAGTATATTATTCTCCTACGTACTATTGTTTGGATTGTGGCTATGGGACTAAAACATTCATAAAATGGGGCCCACTTGAGAAACGAAATCAATGTCTGCCCAGGGCTTTGAGTGAATGCCAAGAGAAAGCCCAACTACTTACCGGAACTGGTCTTTGCAAAGTTGTGCTGGAAGCGCTCATCAGTGGAGCTTGTGACCCAGGCGAACATGTTGGAGTTCTCAACCTGAGCCCTTACGATGCATGTTTGGAAAAGGTTTGTCTGGGATGGAGCTTGGACCATGTTGGTCAGCGTATGACGTGTGTGAGCATGTCCACTGATGTTGATGTTGCAACCTATTGTGAGAAGTTGGTCGCCCTCTACCTTTTCGAGGCAAGGTTTTTTCCACTATGACTAGGACCAATACCCCATGACCACCATATAAAGCTTAATTTTATCAAACAAAAATACATAATTGTTCTGAATTTCTTTCATTCCTCCCAACATGTGTTTAATTAGAACCCTGCTAGGAATGGAAAAATGGCAACGCACTTCTTGGCAATGTGCGACCTTATGATCCACAGCCTCCCCCTTTTCTCAGCTGGACATGGACAAGTATCCGTTGAAGATGGCTACTCTTTCCAGGGACGATTCGAAAAAGGGGTGGGACAAATACAAGATAACGTTGAGCAACGAAATTCGTGCAAAGTATGTCGATGACCCGATCCACGCCCCTCTATGGAAGGATCTCATCTTGGATTTCGACAAGAAGTTTCTTGCTTCTCTAAATATTCCAATGATAAGTAGATTTTAACATAGAGTCAGAGTAGGTCTTAAGGGGAACCATTTAATCCTGAATCCACCCAAGTTCCACTCCCAAAACTAGGTTCTGCGGCAATGCTCCAACGATCAGCGACGCCGTTGTCCTTCATGAGGAGGAAGAGGGCCCACCTGCCAAGGTCAGATTTGAGGGTGAGCCGGAGGAGCTGAGCGAGCTTCTTGACCTCTACATTGTGGAGACCCGGTGTGCAGCCAGGACCCCTGGGTGCTCCCTCTATTTGGCTCATGCTGTTCAACGTGGGGGGGCACGTGTGGACATGCTGGACTCCCAGAAGTTCAAACTGTTCTTGGAACTTTGGCTTGGGATTAGATGAAGTGAGCCTGAAAAGACAATTGCACCAATCTAAACCCAATCCAACTTTCACGGGGTTCATGCCATGGTTTAGGAACAGCCTAAAAAAATACCATATTGTTTGGTACCTGAGGCCTCCATTTGGAAAGAAATGTTTTGACTGACTAACCTGAATCCTGTTCCATTCCAATCTATTGTGGTTGCACCAGGTCTGCCACCAGGAGGTGGATATTGACAACACAGAATTTGTCATTGCGCATGGCAAAAGCACTTTCGTCAAGCCGGACAAAGTCGCAAAGCTCCAGAGAGAGAACACCACTGGAGGCTCGGAACATAAACATGTAGATAATAAGTCTTGATGTCTCATTTATTGCCCAATGACATGTTACTTCAGCTTACTAACTTCTGGCCCCGATTGCTTGCAGCCGGGTTTGATCAAAGGAGGGAAGGTCAGAACCACCCTTCAAAAACAACTAGTTGGTAGTGTTGCACAATGGCGGAGATGACCCTTGCCAATGTGCTAGCCCAGCATGGGTTACAACAGGACCTGGGGAACCTGGGACCATGGGATGCACACGCATTTTTGAAAAAACTTGGTAAAACTCATGAGTCATTAGAGTAATTCTGAGATTGTTGTAGCCGCCCCCGGAACAAAATAAATTTGTTTCGTCATTTTGGGAAGGACTTGACCTATATGCTGGAGAACAGCCCTGGTGCCCTTCAGACACCTTCACCAACCGTTTCTTGCACAGCATGATGAATTAGTGGGCCAATACTTTATAAAAACAGTCCATCATCTTGAAAACCAACTGTGGGATTGCTAACCACCCAATTCTTAATCTTATCTTGAAAACATTCCGTGTTTGAGGTTCCAGTTCGCAGCCCACCATCGAGCGCCAACAAGGGCCCTTTGCCTAAAAGCGCTGGTGTGAAGGTGGACGAGACCACTTTGCCTATGGTGTCGCACAGTGTCTCCAAAGACAAGTTGGACAAGGCTCTTACCGCAGAACAGGTGGGAAAACTGAAAGGGGCAGTGGCCAGTACCCTGACTGATGTGAATAAGGGTCGTAAGAATGTCAAGAACGACCAAACCAAAGGGCCTAAGAAAGCTCTGCTTGAGAGGAAGAAAAGCACTGCCAATTTGGATACCACTGGGCTTGGGGACCCCAAACTTAACCTTGACAAAGAAGCTGCTAGGATTGCTTCTGAACAGTTGTTGAAATCGTTAGTCACACCTGCTACCCCTGCTACCACACGTGGCCGTGGTCGTGCACCCGCTCGTGGCCGTGGACGTGGGCGTGGAATGCGCAAGGCTGGGTTATCATTTTAGTCTATTTATATATAAACATATATTATATTTAATATAAAATTTATATAATAATATATAAATATACCAAGTCAAAAACAAATCAACTTTAGGCAATTTGCAATGCATGCCATGATCTGTGTCAATTCCTTGGTGATGGACTCTTTCTTGCATTTTTTTCACCATCATGACCCCTGAGCCCGCGGCGGCCTCTTCCCGCTCTGCTGCTTCTGCTGCAAGCAAGAAGACCAGCAAACGAAAGGCCTCAAAGCTTTCCAATCATGTCTCAATGCAGAACAGAACTTGTTTTTTCATACCTTCACTCGGGGAACCCAAATCCAGTCTGTTCGGTAGGCTGAAAAGGAGAAGCTCGCCGAGGATTTGGATTCGGAAGAGACCCTGTCGCTCCCGGGTTTGCCAGATCAGGATGATGATGACGCTGAGGAAGCTCAGGAGGAGGAAGGTCAGGGGCAGGAGGAGGAGGAAGAGGAGGAGGATGGTGAATCCGGGGATGGACATCCAAAGGGTGAGGATACCAACCAGGAACCCAACAAGGATGACAACCTTCGTGCCAAGTACTGGGAGGTGGTTCACGCAGCCCAGAAGGAGATCAAGCGCAAGAACCCTGAGATGTCGAACCGGGAAGTGCTCAAGCGGGCGCGTGCGTCGTGTCTTGACAATATCAGTTTCACACATAGACATAGAAAGATCAGACAACTTGATTACTTGATTATGATAAATTCTGATAAATCCATTAGATCTAGAAAATCTTATGAAGTGAATCCAGAAAACTCTCTGATAAAATTGATTCAGAAGACTTTCCGACGAAAAGAAAAATGTTCTTTATCCAGACAACTGGTCCAATTCCGACTCTTCACCCTTTGCTACCCCTAAGGTGGCTGGAGCACCCGCTTCGCTTGCATGCGATGAAGCAGATGTCAGCTTCGGAGCTGAGCAAGCGACGCTTGAAGCGTAGCAAGAAGCAGGAGTAGATGCAGTAGATCGACCTAGCTGATTTCTGGGAGGCTACCTCACTCAAGTCAGTTTTCTTTAAGGGATAACATGGTCTGATGATAATATGAAGATATTAGCCAATCATTTTTCTGAGATATAAAAAGTGCCCAGCATCATCATCTTCAAATTTTGATTCGGACATTTTTGCTTGGGGTAGCCTAAATACCAACAAGTTCTCGCCAACCAGAGAGCTCGACTTTGAAGCCTAGCATGGGGACCTCTACATACTGCTTAGCTTTGTGCAGTATGACGGGGGGTCGTGACAATGGAAGGTGTTTTCTTGACACCGCTTTGGACCAAGATTTACCTGGGATGCTCTACATGGCAAAATGGTATCAGTCTGCATGAGCTGTGTCAGATATTTTCTTGTTCAGCTTGAAAACTCTTGCAACAACTTGGTTAGCAACCACCAAGAGAAGTGTTAATTACTTTCCGTTGTTCTGGGAGGTGATGTGATGGCCCATATGATCAACTGCCGCTGGACCTCTGACACCACCAAGGTTGTGCTGGAGATTCAAGCTGAATCATCTAAGCAATGCAATGATGCAGAACCGTGCAGCATGAGGCAATTGCTACATGAGATGGAAGAGCAGGGGATCTGTGATGTGAAAGTCCGATGCCACTCCTGTGTGCGCCCTGGGGACGCCGCGGGTGCAGGCGCAGTCGCGGAAGCTGTTTGGGGCCAACCTTTTGTAGGCATGCAAGGTCAACAAAAAATCCACGATCATATATCAATAAATATGCTATATTTTATATCATTTGTCAGGTCATCATACTTCATAGATCATATGTCATATATCATAAATTATATGTCATAAGTCATACAACATATGTTATATGTCAAAAATCATATACCATAACATGTATCAAAATAAATCTGAAAATCCGTCCTATCATTCCTAACCTGTGCAGGTGATGATTGCTTCCGGATCAGCCCGAACTCCACCGTGGACATCTTCAGCTACACACCATCCTTGTCGAACATGAAGTTTAGCACTGCTGCCAGTGCTTTCCCCCGCGAAGTGACATACTCAATGTTTTGCATTACCATGGATTGGATTTCTTGCATCGTTTCAGAAGTGAAACCCATAGCCACACAGATTTTTTTCTTCACCAAGGTCTTGGAGAACAGCCCAGTTCTGGATCGATGGTGGAGGGTCGCCTTTATGAAGGCGGAAAAGGACACCATGCTAAATTCTCATTCTCTCCTCATTGTTGGTTTTACTCCCATCACTAAATAGGTCCACACCCATTCTCCCTCTCAGGAGCTCACTCCACGCATCTTGGCATTGCTCAAGCAGCGCCATGTTCGACCCGAACCCAAGATGTTCAACATAGGGATATTGACATGGATAATGTATGATTTATGATGGCCTTAGAAACCATCAGGGGCCCCACCTATATTAATTTCCCATCAGCAGTGCCTATGAAATCAGAACCATTCCTCCCCACTCACTGAGGTAAGCCAATCTATTTTCTTCGTGAGAAGGTGTCAATGCGAGCCAATACTTGTCTCCGTTTGGTGTGACACTCTGATGTGAGTGGGTTGTACCATTGGCTTGGCGTGAAATGATAAAATCATGTCATTTGGATCTATTTGGTTTGATATTAAAAACATCCAGTGTTTGGAAGTTGGAACATGCCATTGCCCATGGCTGGGGATTCCTCAGAGTCAATCTGAGATCTGGAGACACGAGCGGAGATCCAGGCGGAAAACCAAACTGATGCACTTTCTGCCGGGGCAATGGGTTCGGTGCTTCATATATTATTCTTAATATTATTCATCATATTATTCCATATTATTCCTACCCCAACCTTGGTGCTTCACAGCTTTCAGCCATACCCCGAATATAATGAAATAGGCGTCGATTGCAGTGAATTTAACTTATATATATATATACGTCCCACATCATGGCGTTATCCGATGCTCCTCCAATAGGGTACTAGAAATGTTTGGACCTATTTCGCAGTGGATTTTTGTTCGATGGAGCATGTTTTCTATTTTCAAAGTTTGGCCGTTTCCCAGTCTTGCAGTTCCAGTTCCAACCCCATGATTGAATGTGTCCCCATTGGGTTTGTCTGAAAGTTGGGTACCTCAAAGCCCACTGGTCGACAATTCAAAATTAGCATACAATGTTGGGTTGGTCACGTTTTCGACACCCTAAAATTTCCCAATACAGCTGACAAAAAGACACATCAAAAATCCCACCCATAAGCTATCCCCATATGATCCCCTATGATATATGGAAATATCACCCAGCCCTTGGGGGCTCATAACTTTGGTGTCGAGGTTCCGGCGCATGCAAATGCCACCACCACCAGGCCACCAAGCGACCCGGTCGTTTCGGAAAAACCACGGTAGAGAGCTGAATGGTTTCGGAGTAGAAGCTTCCAATGTGTTTGGCAATAAATCTGGGGTGTATATATATAATATAATATATATATAAATAATATAAATAATATTGATCGATTATTTATGGGAAAACATGACGAGAGGTGATCCAAGATTGTGAAAATTGTGGGTTCATGGTATCTTCCTTTCCATCCTACAGCAAGTGATTTGGTGATGTGGGAGTCAGATGTGGTAAATTGGTTTTGGTCTGGTGGTATCTTGCATTAAGAGTGTTGTTGCTTTCCATCCCTAAATTCCAGATGTGGATGAACATATTGTTGAATTAATGTTGATGCTGGGGCTGATTAAATTCGGGTGTGGCCCCCTCCAAACAACCTTGGGGTATCCCTTTTTGATGTCATATTCTGTTGGGACCAGGTTTGGGGAAACAAGGGTCATGAACCTAAGCATATAAGTATATAAGGGTTTGAATTCATTTGAACATACCCCTCCAAAATGTCCACTACAATCTAAATTGATTGATTCAAAATGCCCAATAATGTTTGTCCAAGAATATCGCAACCCTAGATCCGACAATGTGTTAAACCCAATAATAACACATCCCGAAAATCGCTCGTTTTATGCGTGGGATTCCAACCATCCCCAAATGCTAGGTTTATAGCATATTAGCTTTAATCACCTTAGTTGGTTTATATCCCACTAAATCCCATTCAATCACCACTAAATCCATCTACATCCCCATGATTTATCGTGACGAAGCTGGGTAGGCCTCCGTGCCGGCGGGGGCTTCCATGTCTGGTGCCCAGTTGATCCCAGATGTGCGGGGGGACGAGGCGGACTTCGTATGACTTCGTGTCATTGAAGTGCTGAGAAGGGAAATTCAACTGGAAACCATGGTTTTTCTCAGTGAAATATGGTGGAAGTTCCGCAAGATTTTTTCCGACCAAAATCATGGATCTAATGGATCTTGGTGGTTGACCAGCATAGTTTTGGGTCTTTTTAATCACCAGCAGTCGTCCTATGTTTGACCAACATAGAACAAACATGGGTCACCCCATGGTCGTATGCCATACACCAAGCCAACCGCCTGGTTTAATAAAGATCCTAAACCAAGCCTAAAACTAACCCGAAGAAATTGCCTAAAAAACCCTGAAAAAACAACATTAAGATATTAAGCACTAGATAACAAACTTTTAACTAAACCCCTAACCCAAGCCTAAATAAAACCTGAACAAACCCTAAACAAACCCTAAACCAACACTCAGTTCAGGACAAAGCTCGGATGTGTAGTTTTATCCTTTTTGTTTTTTTTGAAAGACATGGGAGAATAGATTAACCAGCTAAAGGCCACAAAGAATCCCTTTGGCTGGGTTTTAGATTGGATTTATGATGCTTTATGAGTTTCATGCTTCAAGTATAGACAAGATTTACATTACCACTATTTTAGTAGGATTACCACTGTTCTGTTTTCTGGGGGGTGCTGTATTATATTCTTACTATAGTTGGTCAGGTCACCAGTGTTGCTGGTTAAATCTAGTTTATCACCCGTTTTGTTCATTATGTTTTGCAATTATATCCCCAAAATAAATCATGATCATGATTATCCATTCGTTATGCTCGTTTGCCAATTGGAAATAATATATAATTATAATTAATTATATAATAATACGAAACCATACTTCAAATATACCCTCTGGTCATCAAACATGGACATGGAAACTTGCCTATTGATATTTCTGTTCCAAGCGTTTTAAACCTCCATTCCTGCTAGCGATTTTCCAGCTAGCCACCATTTGATGAATCTGGAGGGTATAGATATGATATACCCATAGAGAGATTTAAACAAACATAGATATCATAGATAGATAAAAGTGATAAAACTAATTACATATGGATTTATCGACCATAAATCACGTACAAGATACGGATATTCAAATATCGCATAGACATATCCAACATAAATATCCCATATAAATCTCAGTAGATCAAATTCAATCCCATTAAAATCCTATATAAATCCGACCCAAATCCCATCTAAATCCCATATTTGGTTGGTGGTTTGGAACATGAATTTTATTTTTCCATTCAGTTGGGAATTTCATCATCCCAACTGACGAACTCCATCATTTTTCAGAGGGGTAGGTCAACCACCAACCAGATTATTATTAATCAACCATCATTAACCACATCATAAACATATATAATAATCATTAATAATAACCATATATTAACCATTATTGACAGTATATAAACCCTATATTAATCCCATTTAAATCCCATGAAAGTCCTCCAAGGCCATGAGTTGGGAGGCCGAGATGGACCCCCCCGCCGAGCATCCGCTGCTGCGCAGGGAGCTGGGGTGTCTCAGTGACTCGATGGGACCGGAAAAGCTAAGGAAAATCAGGGAAAAACCTAGGGAAAAACTAAGGAACATGGTAACATGGTGGTTTTAACATGTTTGAACCGTGCTGAACTCATTTAACCTGTTGATGCTCAGATACTCGTCGAATTCTGAGGGGGTTCCCAGTGTTTCAAGGGGATTTCACCAGGTAAAATGCGGATCTTAATGTGTTTCATCAACAGCAATGGGAGGTTATTTATATATATATAATATATATATATATACATCATCCAATGTAATTAATTATATCGTGATAATCATAATTCCTTGGGTCAGATTATCACCAATGACTCCACTGGTCTATATCACACCACATGTCCCTATAGCTGGGGGGTCTGCATTATATTCTCATTCTATATTTCCATTCATGGCTAAATCCCCATTATATACTTGGGGGTGCAGTTTCACTCATACGTGGGTAATGAAACCGTAGTTGTAGGGATTAGCCATTGTTGTAGGGGTTAGCCGTTTCATCTAATGGAGGCTATGACCATAGTTACACAGCGATGCCATCAATATATCTCCCCAAGTGCACCCCCAAGTACCACCATTAAATCTCCAATGTATTTCCATTTATTTACATAAATCCCCATGAATGTCAGTTCCTATTAGGTTCCCATTAAATCCCAATGTTTAACAAGTTTTCAGGTTGGGCTTATGTGGTGGTATGGGTTGGTGGTTTGGGGGGTCTGGGAAATTGTGTTTTTTTTTTTGGTGGTCCAAACAGACCTTTTTTTGCCCAGTACATGATATTTTTCACCCCCTCCTCTCCGAAAGGTGGTTAGCGGGTGTTGGACGTACATCGTCCTTGTACAGAAACACCCGCTGACCCACCAATTTTTCCCCCCCCTCCGGTCCAAAGGCGGTGAGCGGGTGTTGGACGCACAAAGTGCCCTTGTACAGAAACACCTAATGGCCGCCAGACTCTATGGATCCGCATGGCTGCAAAGTGATTCAGTGATGCTCCAAATTGAGCCCGGACTCATTGTACTCATGATAGTTTAAGCAAATGGTAGGGGTTGTATTGGATGGCCGGGCCATGTCAAGGATGTCAGACACCAGCTGCCAAATGCCTGCTGGAACAGCAGGTTATAGGTTGGTATTTTTTGCATTGTCTCAGGCAGACAGGCGGCATTCAGCTGTCTTCTAACTGTCTGAGTCACCCAGTCGGACTCAGACCAGACCATCAGACAGCATAGATAACAGATCGCAGATCGCCCAGTGCTACGCAACAAAAAACACGTGGCAATTTGTGTGCAATGGTCCATGGTTGCTTGCAACAGCTGGCTGAGTTTTGTTTGGACGTCAGCCCGGTTCATTTTGCTTGAGACAGGCGCTTCGAAGAGTGCCTGGACATGTGTAGGCAGTCAGAAACTCAGAACCATGAACTCGGATCAGATCAGCCTAGGATTAACGTAATTCTGTGAACAGGCCACACAGCAAATCAGGAAATCAGTGCCCAAAAATGTTCTTTGAAGAACATGTTGGTCCAATTCTGTGTCTTGCGTGTCAGTATGTTTGCATTCTGCTGCCACGAACAAATCTGCCTCCTTGAGGTTTGAGTGTTGCACCGCTACCATTGGAGCGGAGATCTTGCAGAGCGGCACTTTTGCTGGTGAAGTCAGACTGTGAGTTCAGAGAGTGTCACAAAAAGCAAGTATAGGGCAATGACCAGTAAAGCTGTTGGGATTTGATGATCACGCTGCTGGTCTGCAAGCCCGGCCGCTGTTCTTGACGAGGCAAGGCTTATCTGTCGCACACTTAAAGAGCAAATCAATGTCATTGATCGGATTCTTCTGTGAGTATAGGAGCCTTCTCATCCTTCTCAGACCCTGACTCTGATGATCCGATGGTTTTGATCAAAAACGCAGCGGTGACCACAGTGATGTTCACATGAAAGAGACAAGACAACCAAAAATGCAATTGCAGCCTATTAGGGACAAGACAGTCTTGACTGGACGGAATTGATACATTGTAGCAGTTGACATGAAATCAATGACGCCTGTGCAACAAGCATGCAACTGTGCACTGGTTGCCTGAACAAATCCATGCCAGCGCCACAAACAGTGCCAACACAAGGAATTGGCAGAGTGGGACAGTTGCTGCATGTTTTGTTTGATTTAGTCAATTCGATGATGTCTTCCGTCTTAAGTGTTTTGGCTCGCTTGGGTCCGTCCATGCCATGCCGCAGTTGTTTAAAGATGTTTTGCTGCTGATCTAATTCATCATGAGGATCTGTTTTGTAGTGATTAAGTTTCAAGAGTGTCGTTGATATCCCTTGGAAAGAGTTTCTTGAGGAGGGGCGCCGGATCAGTCTATGATGATGGTGGCAGAGCGACGCTTCGTTCAACCTGATGCGAGTGGGGGTGGACGCATCCAGGGACATGGAGGCACACAGCGGCATTGGGATTTTGTGATGTGCATGTCCTGCATTGCCGGCACAGGAAAGCATTAGCAGGGTTCAAACAAATGAAAGCAAGACTGATAGAGCTACTTGCCGTGTGATGAGTGGAGAGGTTTGCGGAGAGTTTTTGCCTTGACAGGAGCTGCAAAGAATCTCTGGGTTAGCATATTCCCGGACCAAATGGAGAGCTTCAAGCGCACTGGCGTCCTGGAACCGCCACCTGCACGGCATGGTCATCGCTACTGGCCCCTGAAGGGATCAGCTGCGTTTCCAGCGATGAAAAGGGTCCGGAACCCGAAGGATGTGATACTGATCCCAATCACCTTCACGTGCACAAGCATGATGGCCATGCTGCGGACATGCCTGGTTTGATGGTTAAACCCCATGTTTCACTATTGTTGATGCTCCAATCGCATTGCCCCCACTACCCAATAAATCCCATGAAGTCACCATTAAGTCGCCTTAAATCACCCTTTAAATTTAAAAATCCCAGTAAAATCCCATTGAAACTCCATGAAATTCCATTAAATCCCATTAGATTTCATTACAATCACAACATCAAGTCCCATTTTGGTGGATGAAATCCAATACCCTCTGGTAAACATACAAAAAACTATGGAAAATCACAATTTTTAATGGGAAAATCAACTATAAATGGCCATTTTCAATAGCTATTTTGACATAACCAGAGGGTAAATCCCATGAGATCATCATCTGCGTTGCTTCACATTTTCGTTGGAGGCCCGCATCGCAGCATGGCGACGAGCGTGCACAGTGGATGCCTGCAGGGTGCGGCTTCTTTTTTGGGTCGAGGTCAACAAGGGGATCACCTGTGAAAAAATGGTGGTTTTATCATGTGATATATAGGGACTTTATAGGGAAAACCTATGAAAAATGGTGGTTGCATATGGTTTTATAATGTGTTATGAGTGATTTTGTGGGAATTTTAAGCAGGGAGATAGACTTAAACAATAGGGACTTAACTGGTTTAAACATGAAAAATGGGATGTAAATGGGTGTTTAACCGTCAACAATTGAGTTTAAACAAAGTCAAATGCAATCTTGACATGGAATTGATATAGGCATGGCAACGAATTATGCCATATTGGGAGGGATGAACATCTATATATGTAATTACCAACAATTTTGTTCTATTTTTCCAGATCCAGATAGAACACAAAAGATCCGAAAACATATTTTTCTGCCCAACTGAAAATATAGAATACTATAGATAAATTTGTTGATTTTACATTCAGTTGGTTGGCCGAACATTGAGGTACTCCAAGATCCACTGGTTTGTCCGTTTTTCCCTTTTTTGGAATTGTTGGTGGCATACGCCATTTTCAAACACATCAACACAACATATTTTTGCAGTAAAATTGTCCATTAAATATCCCCATGATGTATCCGCACATGGTGTGGATTACTGTACATTTCCGATCTAGACAAACTATCCCAAAGTGGTTGCCAAGACATCACATCCAGTAGTTATATCCCAATCATGACTCGCATTGAAACTTCATTTTCCCCCTGAAATATCTCATTTTGTCCTGATGTTAGTGAAACATTCCATATGATATATACCTACTAAAACCTTGGTGAATTTTTGTCCATGAAATAGCCATGAAATCCCTGTGACCAGGAGTCCCATCCGCGCCAGGTCGCTCCGGCAGTACATGAACAACCTGGAACCCATCATCCGGAACTCCTCAGTGCCCTTGCCCAGTAAAAAGAAAACTGGACCAAAGTAAAATTGGGAAAACTCGGAGAAAATCAACTCTGTATCCATTGTGTGGGGTAGCATTGAACTTTGAGAAAGACATGAAGTTTGATGTTCTTGGCGGATGAGGAGGACATTTTGCGTTGATGAAGGCCCAGAGATTATTGTTTGGTTGTATATGATCCATAGTCAGCAATCATGGGAGTTCAACTGTATCAAATTGGCAGCTGCACTGGGACAGTACCAGGGGTCAAAACGATCGGAAAGTCACGTGTCTTTTGGTAGACCCCGTATACACAAGGCCAGGCAAACATATTTGGTGCATATATTAACCATATTCAACCACGTACAATTGAGAGGCCCTTGTTTCTCTCTGCGTTTGTAGACCCCATATACAATAATAGACATTAATAGACTAAGCCAACATCTTTGAATGCATGATACAGGCTATACATGGCTATACAACATATTATGTTTTGTCACAATATGTTATAATATGTCTATGTTGTGATATATTACTATATATTCTGGTATGTTATTTTACACACAGTTTGCTGACCCAAAGAAGAACCAACATGTGTGGGATCGAAACATTGCGAAAATCACAGAGAAATACCACTACTCTGCCTACTCATATTTCATATAGGCAGAAGTAGCCTCGCCAACCATCACTGGTTGGTGGTTTGGAACATTTTTTCCCATCATATATGGGATGTCATCCTTCCCATTGACTAATATGTTTCAATTGAATGGTGTAACCCACAATCTTCCATCTTTTCGAGCTTGCTCAAAACATGTAGCTGGCTCAATTTCATCAGGGGTATGTCACCTTGCGCTTTTTCAGAGGTACCATATCTAGTACTAAAGTAATCAGTGGGGACTGAACCTGGCAATTTAACACATTGGGAAGCTTCTGCGAGCTCGCTCAACTGCAACGAGCTGGCTCAGCACCATCGAGCTCGCTCAAACACATCGCTCTAGCTCAGGGGCATCGAGCTAGCTCAATGGCATCGAGCTGGCTCAATTTTTTCAACGAAAAAAAAACGGAAAAAAAAAAAACGCCAAAAAAATTGAGCCAGCTACGTCACGTTGAGCTGGCGGACGAATGTGAGAGCATCAAAACGAATACTAACTATGTATTGGCCGGGTTCATGACGCATTGGCGTGCCGGCTCAAGGGCATGTAGCCGGCTCAATTTCTGCGAGGTTTTTTTTTCTTTTTTTTTTCGCTAAAAAAATTGAGCCAGCTACGTGGCGCTGAGCCAGCTACGAGGCGCTGAGCCAGCTACGTGGCATTGAGCCAGCTACGTGGCACTGAGCCAGCTACGTGGCACTGAGCCAGCAAGGTAGCTTTGAGCTTTGAGCTAGCAAGGAGGCAGTGAGCCAGCAAGGTAGCTTTGAGTTTCATCATATATATACCTATGCAATCCCAACCATATATAATATACTAAATCTAGGGCAAAACATGTTTTTTTGAGGGAGACACGTACCTTTGAGCTGGAGCGGGAATGTGAAATCTACCATTCGATTCAAGATGGTTAAAACCACCAACCAGATCAATGACTGAAGTTGTGTCTCCTGCATGAGGCATCCTCGTCTCCGCAAAATGCTGGATCCAATGGAAGCGAGGCGATCGGTTGGCAGGATGGCAGGATGGCAGGATGGCAGCGTTGTAAATTCCTATATTCCTCAACAAAATCCTGGTTTTATCTGGGTTTGTGGAAGTTTTTTTTTCCCCATCTGCCAGGTGAGGGTTGTTAGATTTTATCAGAGCTGTTCTCCTCCTCCTC